TTTCACATTTACAATACCAATGTCATGCTCACAAGAGTTACAGATGTGCACAGAGTACATAACTATCTACTTATAGCGGAAAATAACAAGTTATATGATTTAACTGCCTCAACCGTAGACAACACGACTTTAGTACAATGAGATCTATAGAAATCTTTGTTGAGAAACGGCGCCACACTTGTCTTGATAAATGCATTTAACTAACTTGGATTTCATGCGAATGCGTCTTTAGCTTGAGTTGTGGGCGTGGTTCTTAGATTTAGAAGAATGTGAAACTTCAATCTCATCATCAGCACTACTACTGGACTATATTCTCCTGTCTTTGTCGTGGTTAGTATGATATATATCAACACTTACTGCATACCAAAACTTTTGATCAATTTCCCTGAACAATTTTTGAATTGAACTCGAAGGCGTATAAGACACTGTTTGGTTTTATAAAAGTGTCAATTTTCTAAATATTAACTATAATGAATTGTCCATATGGTTGTTCTTATCGTTAAGCAGAGGAAACAGACTTGATATTATTGATTCCAGTTCGGATAACATCTATCAATCATGACTTGTTGACGGCAATCCGTGACGTTATGAGTTCAGTACGTAATATTGAGTAATTAAATGACATAATATAACGCGTTTATTACTCTTTCAAGGAGTAGAAGCGGAGCAGGAGAAGAAACTGGTTGGTTTTTAGTCAGCAAGAGTCTGATGCTTTCTCTCTCTTTACATCCTCAAAAAAATACTATAAGTTACTACTATATTCTGGGATCACTCTATTCCAAATTTAAATAACTTGACCAAACTCGATAATTCAATTGTAACAGTTGACTCGTTCCCTTTTACGGGATCACAGGATCCCGTTATTATTGTTTTTTTGTTTTGTTTTTTTTAAACATTGCCCCACACTAGGATTTTCTCCTGTGTCGTGGGTGCGGTTACAAACATACAATTTCCAGACACATGACACCCAGACCCGAAACAACAATTTGTGGATCACATAAAGAATTGTTCCGTGCGGAAATCGAACTCGCGACACGTTGCACGGCAGCCAGTTGCCCAGACACCGCACCAACCGTGCAGTCATGTCATAGCATACTATTATTGTAGTAGTGTCTCTGATTAAGCTTCAATGAACATACGTAAGATTACTCTCATAATGATTATTAAACCATCAAGTTACATATTATACTCACCTCGAGAACGCCCTAAATCGGAGGCCCAATCCTTCCCCTTCCCCAATCCCTCCTCAATCCCTAAATCTCCAAATCCCTAATCCCTAAAAGGTCGGCAACGCACTCGTAACTCCTCCGTTGCGAGTGTCCATGGGCGGCGCTGATTGCTTACCGTCAGGTAATCCGTCTGCTCGTTTGCCGACCTATAACATAAAAAAAAAAAAATTTACATTACATTTGTTTGCGATTTTCTTTACCCGTACTACTGGCACATTTATCACAATTTATCAAACTCCTGACATAAGTGTGATAACGTTCTTTCGGCCGATGATAATCTTCCCTATGTGTACACTGTGGTCTACTTACGGGGAAGGCAGTGTGACGCTATTATTTTGATTTTTTGACACCTATTTTTGACATTAACACATGTTTTTATAACAGTGTCGGGTCATTGTTCTATATCTACATTTCAGTTCCAAGTTTCAAATCAAGCTACCTAACATTGCCTGATTGTGGTTTGAAAGCCTAATGTATAAAAATAAAATTTGGAATTTATTGAAGCTAGCTTACTATAGCAAGAATGTCTTTATAATTTGCAATGACCTGATCACAAATAACCAATCATCGTTTTAGGCAAACCGAAATGTAGTTTTTTTTTTTGTATGGGTAGGCAAAACTTTCAGACAGATTACCTGATGGTAAACAATCGGCGCCGCTTATAGACAGTCGTAATGTCAAAGCAATTGTATATTGGATAGGGCCCTTGGTAACCTCTCGAGCGAAACACAACAGGAATGCTGTTTCACGCGGATATTCTGAAAGGCTGTGGTATTACTCCGGTCGAGCCAGCCTATTAGCGCACAATCACACATCTACATATATTAAAATAAATGAGTCTGTATGTCAACCGGCAATGTTTGAACCTCTTGTAGCGAATGCACAGACAATTACAGCAATTAATCATATGCGCCATCAGGTAATCAATACGTTTGTTTATCGTGTGTACACGTGTCAGCAACATGTCTTAAGACCTGCAGACCACTCGAGGATATCAAATCATCAATCACAGTGATACCATATCTTAGTGTATCGGAAACGCACTAAATTTATTGCAAACTTTTCTCTTTACGATACAAAAATCAGGACGGTTATCAATAAAACAATTAATCCATTAAATCATTGGGTCATTCCTGTATGATGTTTTGTTTTTAATTCATAATTTGATTTGAACGAAATTCTTTATTTCTTCTTCTAGTCCTTATGTCTTGGACTTGGTTGAGAACGTTGCAATTATTTTTATTTAAACATTGCCTCACACTAGGATTAACTTCTGTGTCGTATTGTGCGTTTACAAATATACAATTCCGCAACACAGTCACACCCGAAACAACAATATGCGTGAATTACACAAAAAGTTGTTCCATGCGGGAATCGAACCCGCGACACGTTGCGCCGCGGCCAACGGCCCAGCCTTCGCGTAAGCCCTCGATTCAAAGTCAAAATCATTTATTCCAACTAAACTATAACTAGGTACTTTTAAAACGTCAAAATAGAAAAGTAGTCTGTCAGTCTGTTCGTCAGTGAAGCTAGGTGCTAATTCTAAATTGTAGATTCGAATGGAGAAGAACGAGCAAGAAACTCCAGTTTCTCCAAGAAAACCACAAAAATCCTTTTATCTCCTAAGCCTAACTCATATAAGTACCCATATTTTATGTAGTCCACATCTGCATTACAATCTACAAAAAAAATCTATGAAAAAAAATTATAATCATAACCTATGTTTCCTAGTTAGTTTTACAACAGCAATAACAATTAAAAACTCTATCTACTTAACATTATCTAAATCGTGTCAGAGAAAATCTCAACTGAACTCAAGGCTGTATCACTCGACAAAGTTACGTAAAGACATCTATTTTAGTTTTTTTACTTTGTCTAAAAATGTTACTAAAGTCTGAAATCACTTCAATATCTGTATTATATCCGTGTGTGAATTGGATTTAACAATGTATCAGTAATTTGGAGATCACACTTTACCGATTAGAGTACTGAAAATAAGTTTAAAGTAATAAATATAGAAATGACGTTTATCTTAATGTTACTGTGCCTACATATGTACGTTTTCAAAACAAAAAAAAAGAAACGAAATTCAAATTTTTCAAATTCGAAACAAAAAGAAAGAAACGAACGAATAAAGCACGTAGACGTTTTCAAAACAAAAAAAAGAAAATTGTGACGTCATAATGTTTTGTTAATAAGATTATTACAACATTTTATATACATACAAAGTTAAAATCACAAAACGTTATAAAAAAAGATATAACTGTGACATTTTAATTAATATTAAAATTAAAACTTTACATTCTTGTGAGGGATTATCCTAATCAAATTGTAAAAATAAGTAGGTAACTGCTATGTAGACTTATCTGTGAATTCTAGTTTTTATAATCTTTGGTTTAAACAAACTTGTAGTTATTTTCAATCTTCAGGCTTACATGTAAAAATACAAAATCATATTAGGTATTTTCGATTTTTACTTTGTAACAATTATTTTCATTAAAACTTTGAGTTTTACGATAATATTTTACATGGCGTCAAGTTTTAATCTAAAACAGATTAACGGTTTAAAAGATAGAAAAAAATTAATGCGCATTTTATCTTTTAATACTTAAAGCTACCCTTTGATAAAGTTTTGTAACCGCATTAGTTTATTTACATTAAAAACAAAGGATAATTCATAGTAGAGAGTCCAAAAATGTCATTTTCCTTTTTGTATTGAAAGTAACGACTTATATTTGTTTTTGTGAGAGAAAACACCCCCCCTTTTCTTTTCCTTCTCTGGGCCGAGGTCGCGGTGCCTCATTGCGCTTACCCCACAACCCCGGCTGAACATCAGCCCTATAGGGCCCCGTCTGAGGTGGTCGATTTACAACTCTTGGCTACGCTGTTGGATGCGCGACGTCGTCGCTGCGACGCTCGCGCTGCTCATGAATAGTCCCGCAGTGACTTGAAAGTAGTAGAGCTGTTCGTACAAATTTTATTGAATAAAGTCGTTATTTTCAATAAATATAGCACAATAGTTACTATTCAAAAATAAGTAAATGCATTATTTACAAAGTCAATTTCGTATGGATCAAAGGTTGATAAAAACGAAACGAACAGATTTTATTTAGGTAAGGTTAGTTTCAAATATGTGACGCGTACTAGGGAAGCCCGTAAAAAATTTAACATTCTTATGTTACAATAAATATTTGAACGTCGTCTTTAAGATAAATTGTTATCAAAATCTTCACAATCAGGTACATACATCATCATTCATCATCTGCTTGACGTCCAACTGAACTGATTCTGCGTGCCATTTTGTTAAACTAAGTCGTCTAGTTAACATGTGTCTTGGAGAATAATACTTTACGTAACTGAGGGTATTTTGAAAACGTCACCATTTTGGGTGGGTAAGCTCTGGTTGACCTCGTTGTTGTTACATAACAATATGTTAAAGTTGTAGCGAGTTTTTGTTGTGTTAAAACTGTTTTTTTTACTAGTTCATTGTACTTTTCCTTAAAATTCTTATGTTAAAGATAATTTCATGTTTTTTTCTGTATTCCATTCATAATATTGATTTGTTTTGCATCGTATATTATTGTTTGTTTTATGTAATTAGTACACTTTCTAACTAAACATTAATAATATTAACTCACGTGTATCTTAATCCCATTTAATCCTACTATCACATACATAATAACAGAAAAACTGGCATCAATCACAAATATCTAAAGATATTATATAATTTGAAAAAAAAGCGACTCGATTGACGATAACTTATCATTCCAGCTTCGTACAGTATTCAGTATATCGGTGGACGTGATTCTATCAGTATTAATGAACAGAATAGTGATTTTACAATAAGATGTGTTTGAAATGGAACAGTGAAAAACAAAAGTGATTATGTCAGTGAGGTGACGAGAACTCCGGCCGGTTGGCTGTGGTTGTGAAGCTGAAAACATTCCCCTACTAAAAATTTTATCCAAGGGCCCGGTGGATACAAGCAAGGATATCTGCAAAATGACCAAGGGCCCTCGGAAAGTGAAGCTAGTCATTGTAGTCAACAATAAGAAAGAGTAAGTATTGCTTACATTTATATTTTATTTACTCAATTTTAATTGCCAGTGATTTAAATTGCGGAACCCTTTTTTGGACTTCTACAGTTACAGACAGATAATTCTGAAGTAAGTTTTAAAACACAAGTACTAGAAGTTTCTGCAATCCATAATCATTGTCTTTTTATCAATTGTAAGCAAAGCTGACACCTAAAAGTGACTTAAAAATTCCACTATGGAATACTTGTTGTAATATTTATTTCCATCAGGTATGCTATTAATCTTCTCTGTGACGTAGAATGGAATATCTCATTTTTCTATTAATCTGTTAGAAGTTAAGTTAATAGGGTTAAGCTATGAAAAAGGAGTTGCAAGCATACACTGTCGATTATTAGTTCAAAGACTTCTTCTATTCAGCTAATGTAGCGTAGAGTACGTACTACACTATTCTAAATTCAAATTGCCAATTTTTGTGGGTTTTTCTAAGCCACGCAACTGCCAGTATGTTCTAATTATACGCCTATCTAAGAAATGTGGAAAAATGTTTGAAAACTTGTTTAAATCTTTTGTTGCTAACCTTGCAAAAAAAATATAAAGCCGGTTATTTCAGTGCTAGACGATATCACTATTATACTAATGATTACAAGTACTACACAATCCACTATATCATAAGTAAATTATAAAAAAAATACATAATTAAATGAACGACAAACCAGTCATCCTTGGAAGCTGTCATCGCAGCGGATACGAGCCATTTTCTCCCTATTATTGTGGGCAATTAAGATGATTTTCCGATAGCATTAGCATATAATGGGCTACGTCGGTTCATTCATGGTTTCCATTCAAGACATTTGTAGTAGGTATTTGCGTATGTTCATTGTAAGTTAGGACTATGACGTAGATTGGCTTAGTATTTATAAAAGGGCTAAAAGTCTAGCTAAATTAAAATAATTGGTCAAGAATTCAAGTGATTTTGTAAGATATCCTTGATTTAGAAGGTTCGTGACTGTTTATCGAGTATTATTACCTTCTTCAATCGTGAATTTAATTGAAGCTGTTAATTAGGATCGTTTTATGTCGCTTTAAACGCAACTTTGGTGTTCGAAATGACATTCCACATAAAATGTATTAATTAAAGACAGGAATAAAATTTATTAATTAACTTATTATAGCTCTTCAGATACAAAATTCATCAAAATGAGTACAGCAGTTTTGAAGTTATTGTGGCTTTGACGCTACATACATTCATTTGAATCCTCGCTGTGAATATAAAAAAATATTCCATGAACGTAAAGAATCTAAAAATAGTTTAAGTAATTAATAGCTGATTGGAATCCAATGGATAATGCGTAGCAAGTATTTTATGTTAGTGTAATGTTATTATGAGGGTGCTATCTGGGTCTAGGTTCAATTCAGGGCCAGTCACCATAAGTGGCTGTAATCTAATGAGAGAAAAAATCCTTTTCCGTTCTTTTATTTCATAGTATGGTAACTAATGGAACGTCCAGTTTGATATAACGTTTGAGTAATTGAATCTTTAAAATTGATTTTAGAATGATATCACAGAAACTTCAAACTTGATTATTTTTCGCTTTAGTAACTCTAAAGAAATGTTTTCTAAATCTAAAATTCTTATCTTACACAAAAAATCAACTCGTGTGTACTCAAAATAGGCGTGCAGTGTTATTATTTATAAAATATAAAATACAAATAACAAACCATTTTAATGCGGACGTTAATGAGTTTATAGATAATAAAGAGATTACTTACAATATCAACTTTATAATCAGATCGAACGAAAGCAATGATTAGATGTAATTATCAAAATATTGCCACATGTTAGCAGGAAAATGGGTTTTGCAAATTCACGATTAGAATTTTGATTTTTGTTGATACGTCAAACGTGGCGCCTACCACCACGATGTATTTTATGATTAGCTTTGGAAAGGTTAAAACAAAATAATACTTCTTTCTTTCTAATCTCTTTTTAACGTAAGGCCTATAGGTCTACGCATGTCATGACAATTAAATTACTTTAACATTTAGCTCATCCACTGCCACTTAAAAGTTATTTCGAAAGTTATACACCTAAGTGGTTTTAGCCCAAACATCTTTTCCATGTCAAATTGCTACTAAGCACTTGACTGGTCGTTTAACAACACTATTTCGGAAACCTTTATGATCTTTACGTACTTAGTTTCTTTTGACATTATTATTTTATCAAAATCTTAACAAAATTGTCTCATTAACACGTAAATGCTCCCTTAACCTGTTAATCGTGATAATTCGAGACACAATAGAAGAACAATAGAGGCGCGAACGCCGGCGTTCGCTTGGGGTTTGGTGAAATATTTAGATTAAACAATTCGTAATATTACTAGTGTTCGTTCTAACATTGTCTAATGTAGTTAGACGTTGGCAATGTCAGCGTTTGAATGAGACATTAGTATGCAAGATCCCTATCTCGGAACTTGTAACATGATGTTACACGCGGAAGGTACAACTTTCGTAACCTCATAACATGAACTACTCAACAGAATATATAGAATTTTCATTCAGTATAAACTATGAAACACTTTTCTTAAATGTTCATCATCAGCCTATAAGTGCCCACTGCTGAGCAAAGGCCTCTTCTCATTCGGAGAAGGTTAGAGAATTAATCCCCACTCTTGCTCAATGCGGGTTGGCGATTTCAAACTTATAATTAGAAATTATAATAAGTCCAGGTTTCCTCACGATGTTTACCTTCACCGTATTTTAGTGGTGTCTAAATAATCAAAGAAAATACATAAAACTCGGAAAAGGTCACTTTGGTACTTGCCACGTTTCGAACCCACACCCTCATGGGTGACAAGCGGGCTCCTTAACCTCCGGGCCACCACGACACTCTTAAACTCCACGACTTCTTAAATTTTAATACACTAATTTACCTAGTAGCTTTTGCAAGAACTATTGATGTCAACAAGGTCGTCAACAAGGCTGTTCTATCCGTAACAAACACTTAAACATCATCACACGTGTGTCATCTTATTTATCCCTAAGCCGTTTGGACAACGATTCACACTCAATTTACCATTGAAATCGTAAACTTGTACAAATGAGCAGTAATGATTACGGTACGATACGGAAGCGTCACGCCACAGCGGACTGGACAGTCTCTCACGCGATTTGCGACGTCCTTGGTGATCGGAAGAGCGTCATTTGCACTACTCCCAAGGTCGAATGGCCGTGAGAGTCTGGACTGTACTCAAATACATGGTAATGCACTCGATGATGTGTGAGCGAAAGTAAAGTTTCGACTGTTTCGAGCTTTTCAATTGTTTGTACGATTAAAAGCTTATTGTGTGATTGTGTAGCTAGGGGCTGATTTTTCAATAGATAAATGTTATCTGAGGAATGAAATTGTTGCTGTCCCTGTCTTATACAAACATTCTGACGCGACAGCATCATAACTATTCCCCAGGTAACTTTTATCTAACCATTGAAAAATCAGCCCTAAGTGGAGAAAACAAATGAATACACGAAAAAGGTTTTGATCGGACTAATTACGTCGCAAAGAATTTCTTATTTCCACAAAATTGTGTCTTAATAAAGCCACAAGATGAATTAAAAAGTTCATAAATGCATTCACTATCCCTGACATCATTACCATCCTTGCATCATATGATGTCACACAAAGATTACTTGGATCAATTAAAACGGTCCGCCTCAATTTATCCAGTGTTTTTAAAATGGTCAGTAGGACAAAATGTCACGATCGCGTGCTACTTGCCATTAACCGATTATTACGACGACATTTTAATCATAAGCTGCAGCGATTAGTCGCGAAATCGAGTTTATCATCTGTAATCAGGTATAATACGTATAAAAATCTGCATTAGACTTAACGGACAATTCCATTACGCATGAAATACATAAATATACCTATGTATAAAAATACCATTTGATTAAGTACTTGCAGACTAATGGTAAAATAAAGCACTTACAGTAAAATTTCGATTTGTCATTCATTAAACTAAGGTACTCGCTCTTCACACTACGTAGGTTCCACTCGTTCATAACTTGCGCCATATCACAAAATATGAATTAATTGCCATTATTTCCGAACGGTGGGAACGCTACCGTTTGGTCACATCAACCCACGTTTTCATTGTTGATATTTTTAGAACGTTATTAGCGAACTCGTGGACTTTGCAGGTTATTTTTGACCTACCTGTTGTCAAGATTCATTATGGATATCATTATATTTTCCGGGGTTTATTGTCATTTGATTCAGCCCCAAGTTTCTGTCGCGTTTTTAGATGAAAAATATACATATAGATGAAGAAAGTAAATGGATTTCAAAGCTTTTAACACGTACCCGAACGTACGGCGTAGCGTTCCTCAAATAGACCACTACAGATGGGGTCCAATAGAGCCGATTTTCAGCTGGAATTGTGGGACAACCGTAATAAGTTACTGCGGCCTTGGCGTATAGCAGAAGCAGGAACGGGGTTCACTTTACTCAGTAAGGTTCTGACGACGCCGACGTCCTAAACCATCTATATGAAATATGTTTTAACCCTTCAAAACCTTCAAAACACGCTTTTACCCGTTTCAAAACAAGTTAACTCAACAATGAAAATGTCGTTTTTGTATTATAACATCGAAGCATAACAGTTGGACCTAGCACGGTTGAAAGCGACTGCAGCATATTATTTACAATTAATTCGTTACGTCACGTGTACGCCCATAGAGCACAGCCGTGATTACTGTAATGACGGGAAGCCATGCCATGGTTTCCGTGACAAACGGCCAGTCATCGTCAACCACCATTATTACAGGACTTGGCAACGTCATCGTGGTACCTTACGCGGCATTTTACACGTGAACTAGGAACTTTTGAGGTCATTTGGAAAATAATGTACTTAATCAATCAAGAGATTTACTAAAGAATAAGTTACTAAATGCTTTCTTTAGAGTAAAACAAACTTTTAGCATATTTCAGGATCCTTTGGTACATAATTGTCACTTTATCTCGT